CTATGAATATTCAATGCATGTGGGATGAATGAATTAGCCAGAAAATCATGTACCTTCAACAATTGCTTAAAGTCTATCATTTTCCAGCAAAATCCTGGAAAGGGAGCAAATTGTATGATGTTTTATAAAGGAACCGTCCACTTTAGCAGCTAGGAACTGTGCATCAGAAATAGGATCCAAAGTTGCCATTTCTCCATGCATTAAGGATGTCAATCAGTGCAATAAAATAAAGCCCCCCAAAAAGACAAAAGGGACATTACCTCATTACCTCAACATCTGCTTGAACATAAGCAATCACACACTGGCTAGTATTTTTTTTTAAGGGACATAATATAACTTTCTAGAAAGACATAATATAGCTAATTATACCATTCACTGGAAGGGAACATACAATGTTTTGAAGTAATTCAGAAGTGGGTGTGATTTACAAGGCACAGAGTCTAAGGAATGGTAAGTATAAATTAGAGATTGTTCATATTATGACAGACTCCGTCATTACACTTCACAACTTTTGTCACAAGCAACCTTATTCACCATCCTACTGAAGGCTTCACATTGGGGAGGGGCTGCTGTCAGCGCTGCCATTCACAAGCCATGCGAACCTTCTTTGTGTCTGAACACTCTCCTGGAGAATGGGTTCAAATCGGAGACTTAAAACTCGCTGAGGAGGGAATTATATAATGACGCCTAAATACTCACCAAGAATGTGGAAAAGATTTCAAACCTCACTAATAAACAGGGCAAGACAGTGTTGCTTTTTTTGTTAAAGACTCCTATTTTTCTCAGCAGATTGGCAAAAATTATGAAACCTGACACCACACGCACTGGCCTGGAATCCATTCCAAGTAACAGAGACCCCGGGGTAGAGAAGAACTCCCGCAAAGCGTTTTCAAGGCTCTAACTCTTTACAGAAGCAGTTTACCTCATTTCTCTCTCAGGGAGTGGCTGGTGGGTTTGAACCATCAACCTTATGGTTAGCAGACGCATTTTTTAACCACCATGCCACAGATGGTGAGTGCGTGCACTCCTTCTGAGAGGCATTTCTGTAATGTCTAGAGGAAACATAGGTAGCACTGGTTGCCTAGTGGTAAGATGCTGTGCTAATAACCCAATACCTGTGATTTAAATCCTACAGGAAGGCAATCTCCTCCAGTGCAATTTGTTGTTGTTGTTGTTGTGCTGTCGAGTGGTAGGTAACTCACAGCGACCCTATGAACGAAAGTCCTGGACACCTCCTGTATAATTTTCGTCCTTTCTCCCGGTTCATAGGGTTTCCAAGAGGCAAGCTATTTCAGAAGTGGATGCCACTCCTGCTTCCAAGCTTGTTTTAATTGGGGAACTCCACCAAACACTGTCCACCGTAGGTAACCATTATCACATTTGACTCATCAGTGTCATGGTGTTCGGATTCACAGCAACCACGAGTTACCTCTGTACAGGAAGTGGACATATCAGGGTTACACAAACTAGAATAATGTTTCACCAAAGACAATTAAAGGCAGGCCTGAGGGCTGCGGAGTAGAGTCACCCACCTTTGGCTCGGAAGCATGACTTTCTGTCCGCTAGGCCAACTGCTCTCTCTAGGCTGTTGCTGTTGCTGCTGCTGTTGTTGTTGTTGTTGTTGTTAAGTGCCGTCGAGTCGTAGGCAACTCATAGCGACCCTATGAACAAAAGACCTGGACACCTGTATAACTTTGGTTGTTTCTCCAGGTTCATAGGGTTTCCAGAGGCAAACTATTATGGAAGTGGAATTTACTGCCTCCATAAAACTGCCGGAGGGTCAGCTATGGATTGATTCCAATTTGGCAGCACATAACAACAACAACAACAGCAAAAACATATCTAAACATGCCATCTAATCCAATAATTCTACTTCTAAGAATACACTGTAGTGGAGCTGGGGGGGAATCCTTGTGTAAAGTGCTGTGTAACTATGGATTTATTTGTATAGTAAGTTGACGAATGATCGTCTCTCCACTAGACAGAAACTTAATGGGACCCCCGATGGTGTGGCTCACATTCTCTACCTGCAGGGTGGCTCACGATCTTCACCCAGACACCTGGGCTTCAGAAATGATACCCACCGGAAGCCACACCTACTGCCATCCAGTCCTTCTGCCCTGTGCCGGTCCTGCAGGCCAGTCCAGCCCTGCTGCACGGCACGGCTTCCCAGGCTCAGCCGACCGCTTCATCACTCATGGAGCAGCTGGCAGACCTGATCCACCAACCTTCTAGTTGGCAGCCTAATACGCAATCCTCTGTGCCATCAGGGCCTCGACATATTCGGCAGGTAACTTGGTAAGGATTGGTCAAAGGAAGGTCGTTCACCTAATATTAAAAAGGTTGGGGAGTATTTACAATAATGGTTCTTATTCAGAAAGCAATTAAATCATTGCCATGAGGTTGACACCAACTCTTGGCTGACCCTCCAGCAGGTTCCCGAGGCTCATCCTTCTCCCTGAGAGCTACTAGGGGATTTGAACCACCAGACGCAAAGCCTTTGGGTTAGTAGAGCCACTCCCTGTAGACCAGGCCACCAGGGCTCCCCTCAGATAAAATAAGAGCATTGGAATTACCACATTAGCAAGTAGTGAAAAGTAGTAAGAAAAACGAGACGACCATGACATCGGTTTACCAAACTGCCCAAGAGTGTGTTCAAGCACCTCGTCTGTGATTCCATCTCACCTCCCTAGTTTTCCATTTGGTTCCATGGATCAAAGAGCAATTAAATACTCAACGTGCGTTTTACAGTCTAAGATCTAATGACAAATAATCGCCCTGGGTATAATCTCTCTCTGCGGATCCTCCAGCAGGTTTTCAGAGGCTATAAATCACACGGGAGGAGACAGTCCGTCTTTCTCCCTTGGAGCAGCTGATGGATTCAAACCACTTGACTTTGGGTTCCGAGTCCAGCTCTTTACCCACTAGGCCACTAGAGCACTAAGAAGTACAAAATTCACACTGAAAAATATTCCAACAGCTTGGAACCAGACTTCGTATCCTAAAATAATGCGTATCCTCCACCGGAAAACAGTTTCAAGGTGTGTTCTCCAGGCTTTGGGATGATCTTAAATGAGGAAATCAATCTTTTAAAAGCAGCAGTGTCACAGATTTCCCCCCCCCAGTACAATGCAAAACAATTAAAAAAATAAAGCCAGAAACCAGAATTCCCCCCTCTTTTGCAAGCCTCCATCCAACATAGGGCTGAGAGCCTGTCCCAAAAAGCCAAACTGCTTATGGATGGTGGGCACTGTTAATCTATCCTTGTGGTTACACACGGAATAAAAGGAGTTGTTGTTAACTGTCCTGTGACTCATAGTAACCCTTTACACAATAGCTCTGAACCCCACTCTATCCTGAGCCACTCTCACTGCCACACCTATCTCCACAAGACCAGTTACTGTGTCAATCCATCTCATCTGGGGTCTTCCTCTCCTGCCTTGTCCTCTACCATTTAGTATTTGAAAATTAACCATTAGTCAAAAGATCTAGTACCTACTCTGAGGTTACCAGTAATGACAGAGCTGGAAAGTAAATCAAGAGTCTGCGAAAATAAACATAAAGAATGAGAAGGATTGTATGAAACACAATGCGAATGAAGGATATTGTGAACCACATTCTCTCTCTCTCTCACACACACACACACACACACACACACACACACACACACAGAGTCTGTGAAACTTAGAAAGAACACACACATAGAAACCAGCCTCTCCCTAAACTTAAGAAAATCCCAATTTTGTTCCCTCTCCACACTGGCTATGGACCTTGGGATAATGGTGAATGGGAAGTGGAGACCATGGGAGAGGCAATGCATCTGAAACTTTTCCAGTACTTTCTCCAAGTGGCAAAGGAATGTGCTGTGCCCATTCCATAACTGTGGAAACAGAGACTGTGTAACACTGGGTAACTGGCTCCATGGGCTCACAGTCAGTAAGCAGTAACTTGAGCTTTCGTGACCCCCATCTCAGCAGTGGACAGCCTTCAGTTTCAAGGAAGAGGTGACAGGTTCCAGGACCATGGGGAGTAATCTAATGTTAGGACTAGTCTTTAGTTGAGTAATGGCCTGACTACCCAAAAGACCCACAGACGGGAAGTGTCTTCAAGTTGACAGAGCCGGTGAAGAAGTGAGAAATGGAACTAGACGCCAAGGCCCCTTCCCCAGAGTGACTCCGAGAAGTCATTCTGAAAGGCACTGGTTCCTACACAGCCTTACTTCCCAAATCGGGATGGATGCCTCCTGGGCCCACTTTCTCAAGGCACCCTGGGTCAAGAGATTCAAACTAGGTGTCAGGTTCACACTTTGTCACCGATCTGGATCTGGCTTTGTTCTGAAAAGGTAGCTGATGGGCGAGATTCACTACAACACCTTGTGACTGTGGGGTGATCCCCAGCCTGCGCGGGCAGAAAGGTGTGGGCGCGGCCTGGCCACACTGCGGCCCACCGCCAATCGCGCAAAGGCAGGGCACCCCAAAACCGCAGTGTTGGCTCACCGACTAATGAATGGCCAGGCTCGGACCGTGATAAGGCACAGTAGGGCCTGAAAATCCCAGCAGAGTAGGAAAGAGAAACTAGGCAAATCCGCTTGTGAGGGGCTGGGAAGGCGGAGAGCAGCGCGGCAGGCCTCGCGGCGCCTGCAGACGAACGGGGTGGGGCGGCGGCGGGGACGCGGGGCCTGCGGGGCTGCGGAGCTCCGGGCACCCCGTCCCCCGGCTCCCGCGTCCCAGACGCTCCGCTACCACCGGCCTCGTCCGCGCTGCACCGGCGACCTCTCCCCGGCCCCTGGAGCAGCGACAGCGCTCCCGTACCGCCCTCCCGCACTCCGCCCGCGCCCGCGCCCGCGCCCGCGCGCCAACCCGGGCACCGGGCATGGAGACGCTTCTCCCCGGCTGCCGGGCCACCGAGGTGACCATCACGGCCACCACGCCCCCGCCCGCTCCCACCTGGCGGGCCCCCCGCCCCACTGCGCACGCCCACCGGGCCCCGCGCGCGCCCACCTTGCTCCTTGAGGCTGGTGATGAGCTGCAGCTGCTTCTCCTCGTCCGAGCTGTTCATGTCGGCGCGCGGGGCCCGGCCGCAGAGCGGGAGCCGAGCGGGGCGCGGGGAGGGAGCTAGAGGCCGGCGGCGTGCGGCTCCGCCACCCGGAAGTCGGAGCCGATCCCGCTCCTCCTCCTCCTCCTCCT